GTGTTTAATTTCGAATTATTTTTGGTGAATAGGTGCTTTTTCCAGAATTCCTCGTTGTAGCAGTCACAATGTGCGATAACTGCCTGCCTACAATGGTAACCAGATGCAGAGCTGGAACCCAGATCGCTAACAGCAGGAATGGTTGCTCTGCACTGTAGTTTAACACTTGAGCTCATATTGGCTGTGTTTTGGTCTCTTCCCACATGCCGGGGGAAAGCGCCTTGAGATAAGACTCCCTCAAAGATGCGGGTTGGTACTCAGAACAGAACGGAGTCATATAAAGCGGAAGCCCCCCAAATGAGGGGGGGTCACAGCTCAGTTACCTTGAACACCTTGTACAGCTGTTGTTTCATCGATCTGTGATGTCACGCCATCGGTGCAGCTGGCAACTTTTCCATTTCGATCGATCCTGAGCCTGACGAGATCAGGTGACGCCATAAAGGCGCACGATTGGATCTCGCCATCGTGCTGCTCAGTTATTGTGTGATAATTGAACCTAAAAATGGTCAACGCATGAGCAGGATTTTTTTTTTTGTTCTTCACCGTTTTGAATTCATAGAAAATCTGAATGCAATTTCGCCCTGACTGGGATAAATTACATCACAAATTTGGCGTCTCAGTAGGTGCTTAATCAGTATTGTGGTTACAGTTATTGATTTTGTTATATAATCATGATTATTAGTTATGATTTCAACGAGTAACAATTTTACAATAAGCAAGAAATTCATAGAAAATCTGGATGCAACTCTTGTTCTGATGGGTGCAGATTACACCAAAACTAGGCGTTCTAGTACGTGCTTGATTAGTATTATGATTGCTATTATTGATTTTATTATATGATCACGATTATTAATCATGATTATATAATATTAATTATGATTTCAATGAGTAACACTTTTAAAATAAGCAAAAAATTCGTAGAAAATCTGGATGCAACTCTTGTTGCGACACGTGCAGTCCTCAGGGGGTGCAAATCACAGTAAAAACTAGGCTTCCAGTATGCGCTTAATTATTATTATAATTATATTTATTGATTTTGTTGCATAATCATGATTATTAATTATGATTCCGATGAGTAACAGCTTCTTTGTATTGTTTATTGCATCACTGCATTTTTACTGAATACATTCGTAGCGC